GTACTAATACTGAACTATTACGTATTTGATCAAAATTATTATTTTACTCTATAAATGGACAAAACACAAGAGAGAAAGGACGAAACATAAGATTTTACTTTGTAAAATAAAACATCATAGAATAACGTGCATTTGAGACAATTCTATTATCTGTTCTGACTTTCTGACGTCCGTCTTTTCCTGCGCGCCCCACTGGTCCCTACTTCGCTGGTGTTCTGATTGGCTCGCGTGGCGCGCGTAATGATACACAACGCTTCTCTATGCTGTCTTAGACAATTTCGAGAGCTTTCGTTTCTTCGCTACTTCAACTCAATATTACATTTATTTAATTCCAGTATTTTTTTCTAATGTAGAAAATATTTACTTAATTTTTAGAGGGCTGGCACTTTTGCTTTGAAATTTAGAATTTTTTAAATGTAAAATTTATATATATATTAAACGTTTATGTCACGAGGAGTCGACGAGTTTTCTACTGGTCACTATAGTAGCCGGGACACCAATGAAGAAAATTTTCATTTTTTATTTTTAGTGTTTCTTTTGATGTCGCAAAACATGCCACTAAAGTCAGATTGTTGAAATTTTATGTAGAAATAGTATTATTTACTTAGATAAGTCTAAATAAGTTGAATTGAACAATATAGACATTTACGTACATATGAAACTTTTCTTTAGCGTAATCCAGGACTAATGACGTGGACGTAGAAATTATTATGTAGTCCCTAAAATGCTCGTGACTCTTCCTTCAGTCTGTCTTATAGCCTCATAAAATTTTTTCACTAGCGAGTAAATAAAATCGGTATGCCTCCTAGTGACGACAAAATGGAATTACTATCAAATTCTTCTTGGCAATACATTCTCAGTTATATCAATGAAATAATATAAGCTGAATATTTGATAGGCTGCGGTGATTCAAGTTATACAGACTTCTCTTACTGGGCATTATAGTGGCAAGTCTGCCCTTCTAAAGGTTAATAAAAATATTAGATTTAAAAAACTAGTATGTTTTTTTCAATATAAAACAATAATTACTTATGTTATATATAATTACTCATAATGAAGAAGGCTCTATGAGCTGAAACATGTATATCACTTATGTTTTATTAAATACATAAATCATTTTATTATAGTAAATCTAAAAATTGCTTAATGATCGTTATTTTAATTTAATTTGCTGTGCAAAGATTCAAGTGTTATTACATTTATTTGTTTATTGATGAATATTTTTTAATTTAAAACAATTTACACGCAAAAGTAAAATATTATACTCATTTACGTAAATATTACATATACGCATATAAAATATTATCACTTTAATTGAAATTATTATCTTCATTTTAGAACTTAAAGAATAAATAATATAAGAAAATAGTATTTACTCGATTTCAGAACTTTTTTCTGTCGAAGAAGAAAAAATACAATTTCTGAATTGTATTGTACTTACCTACAGTAAATGTTTACTTTATAGATTTACTTCAACACAGTAAAGCGAATTATTTGTTTTAGTCCAACAAATTTTGAAGTGTGAGTAATTATTTATTTTATTCTTAAGATTATAATTACTAAAATTATTACTTAAAATTATTAGGTATACAACTTTGCTTCCGCCGTTTTCCTATAGATGGCTTTAGCGGTAAGTGGTGGTCGAAATAAATAGATCATAGACGTCATACAATAAACTTGGGCATCTGTCAACATAACCCCATAGAAACATCGATTTTAATCGATTTGTGTCTGCATCATAAAGTTATTCTCGATTGAAAATGTCACTTTACGAGCCAAATTCTCGTCATTTGCGGGAGGTTTTAATTTTTTGCTTCAATATGAAGAAATCTATGGCTGAGGCTCATCGAATGTTCTCAAATACTTATGACGCCGCTATTAGTGAAAGAACGTTTCGTGAGTGGTTTCAACGCTTCAAGAACGGTGATTTTGACATCGAAGACCGGCATAGCGGTGGAAGAGAGAAGGTTTTCGAAGATGCAGAATTGGAGGCATTACTTGAGCAAGACTCGTGTCAAAATCAAGAAGAATTGGCACGATCATTGGGAGTGACTCAACAAGCCATTTCAAAACGTCTCAAAGCCATGGGAATGATTCAGAAGTAAGGAAATTGGGTACCGTACGAATTGAAGCCGAGAGATGTTGGCGTTTGTTTGCTTGTGAACAGCTGCTTGAAAGGCAAAGACGGAAGGGATTTCTGCATCGCATTGTGACTGGGGACGAAAAATGGGTTCATTACGATAATCCCAAGCGCAGAAAATCATGGGGAGTTCCCGGCCATGCTTCCACGTCGACGGCCAAATCGAATATTCACGGCTCCAAGGGCATGCTCTGTATTTGGTAGGACCAACTCGGCGTAGTGGATTATGAACTGTTAAAACCGACTGAAACAATCACAGGCGATCGGTATCGAACGCAATTGATGCGTTTGAGCCGAGCATTGAAAGACAAACGATCGCAATACAACGAGAGACACGATAAAGTGATTTTGCAGCATGACAATGTTCGACCCCATGTTGCGAAAGTGGTCAAGACATACTTGGAAACGTTGAAATGGGAAGTCCTACCCCACCCGCCGTATTCTCCAGACGTTGCTCCCTCTGACTATCACTTGTTTCGATCAATGGCACACGGCCTGGCTGACCAGCACTTCCGGTCTTATGAAGAAATAAAAAATTGGATCGATTCGTGGATAGCCTCAAAAGATGATCAGTTTTTTCGACGCGGGATTCGTACGCTAAAGATGGGAGAAAGTAGTGATCAGCGATGGATAATACTTTGAATCATAAATGTATAACCAGTTTTTTACAATAAAGCCTCGAATTTCGGAAAAAACGGCGGAAGCAAAGTTGTACACCTAATATGTAATAAATATTTTTTATTTAAAAATTACACTAGTCGGAAATGTAAATATAATTACTTGTTCTACTAAGTAATTTACTCGATTCAAGTATATTTCCCTCTCCAATTGATTATTTTTACTCAATAAAATCTAGATTTGAGACGAGTGTAATTCTTAAATAAAAAATATTTATTACTTAATTTTAATAATTATCTTAAGTTAAAAATAATTTATTTATAATCAACTTGTTTTCTATAATATTTAGGGGTTCTAAAAGTCCGTTTCCCTAAAGATGGCTCCAGCTGTTGTGAATGATTCATAGTGACAGCTGATTTTGACAACCCCAAGAAGAAAAAATACTATGCTAACCCCGTTGCCATCGACCTCAACATCAGCACCACGGCCGAACATGGTTCGAAGATCATGCTCTGTATCTGGTGGGATCAAAAGGTTCTTGTTTACTATGAGCTGCTGAAACTTGGCGATTCCATTACGGACGATCGGTATCGACTACAATTGATTCGTTTGCCGTGCATTACGAGAAAAACGGCCGGAGTACGAGTAAAGATATGATAAAATTATTCTTCTTCACGACAACGCTCAGCCTCATATCGTTAAAGTCGTAAAAAAATATTTGGAAACGCTCAAATGGGATGTTTTATCGCCGTATTCTCCGGACATTGTTCCTTTTGATTACTGGTTGTTCCGAAGAATACAGCACGATTTGGCAAGTCATTGGTTCACTTCTTTCGCAGAAATCGAAAATTAGCTCCAAAATTGGATCGCCTCCAAAGACGAGTCATTTTTTCGAGATGGAATTCGAAAATTGCCTGAGAGATGGGAAAAAGTAGTAGGCAGCGATGGACAATACTTTAATTGTGACAATACTTAATCTGTTCATTCATTTTGTTTTGAAATAAATGCATTTTTGAACACAAAAAAACGGACCGAACTAATTTGTACTCC